GCACACTGAGAGATGCTCAGACACACTCTCACAAACTCAGACACACTTGTGCATATTCAAACACACTCAGACACACTCAAGCACACTCCCACACATCCAGACACACTCAGAAATATTCGCACACATTCACACTCTCGCACACTCAGAAACACTCACACACTCTCAGAAACACTCAGGTACACTCAGTCACACTCTCACATTGCAGGACACACGTAGACACACTCAGACACACTCAGACACAAGCACATACACTCAGACACACCTGCAAACAGTGACAAATAATCAGACTAAAAATATATGCTCAGGTACACTCACACACACTGAGACACAGTCGCACAAACCCAGACACATTCAGATATACTCCGACACACTCAGGCACACCCAGACACAATCAGACACACTCGCACACACTCGCTAAAACTCACACACACTAACACACACTCACACACTCAGTCACACTCACTCACACTCAGATACCGTCAGATAAACTCAGACTCACTGAGACACTATCGCACAGACTAAAACACTCATACACACTGACACACACTCACACACTCAGTCACACTCACTCACACTCAGATACCGTCAGATAAACTCAGACTCACTGAGACACTATCGCACAGACTAAAACACTCATACACACTGACACACACTCGGACACGCTCAGACACACTCAGATAGGCTAAGGCACACTCAGACACACTCGCACACACTCAGACACACTCAAGCACAATCCCACACACCCGGACACACTCAGACACTCTCAGGCACTCTCAAGCACACGGAGAGACGTTCAGACACACTGGCACACAGACACACTTGAGCACACTCAAACGCACTCAGACGCACTCAAGCAAACTCCCACACATCCAGACACACTCAGAAACATTTGCACACTTTCAGACAAACTCACACACTCAGAAACACTCAAACACTCTTAGACTCAATCAGGCACACTCAAACACACTTGAACACACTCAGACGCATTGGCGCACACAGATATTCTCAGACGCATTCAGACACACTCTAAAGAAAACCAGACACACTTAGAAACACTCAAACAAACCCAGACACACTAAGAAACACTCAGTCACACTCAGACACACTCAGACACACTAAAAAACATTAAGACACACTCGCACATGCTCAGACAAACAGCAAACACTCTCACACACTCAGAAACACTCGCACACACCCAGACATCTTCGCTCACATTCAGATACGCTCAGAAAACCTCGCACAAAGCCAGATACACTTTAACACACTCAGACACACTCAGACAAAATCAGGCACACTCAGACACAATCAGAAACACTCAGACACGCTCAGACACACTCGCACGCAGCAATGCACACTTAAACACACTCAGAAACACTAAAGCACAGTCCAACACTCGCACAAACTCACACACTCAGACACACTCATACAGGTTCAGGCACACTCAGGCACAATCAGACACAGAAACAGTCACACACTCCCAGACACTCTCAAACACTCTCAGACACAGACACACTCAGATGCATTCACACACAATCATACACGCTCAGTCACATTCAGACACAGTCAGATACGCTCAGACACACTCTCACACACTCAAGAACAGTCCCACACACATTTAGACACACTCTGACACAAACACTTACAATCGGACACACCTACAAACACTGACAAAAAAATCACACTCATAAATAAATGCTGAGGCACTCTCACACACACTGAGACACATTTGCAGAAACCCAGGACACACTCGCACACGCTCAGACACACTCAGACACACTTAGACACACTGCGACAAAATCAGACACCCTCGCACACAACCAGACACACTTAAAAACACTCAGATACACTCAAGCAGAATCCCACACTCCCAGACACGCTCAGACACACTCGCACAAAGACACACTTGAGCACACTCAAACACACTCACACGCACTTAGGTACACTCCCACAAATCCAGACACAGTCAGAAATATTGGCACACATTCAGACACACTCAGACACTCGGAAACACTCACGCATTCTCAGACGCACTCAAACACACTCAAACACATTCGAACATACCCAGATATATTCGAACACACAGATATTCTCAGACATATTCAGACACACTCTCAGGAAACCAGAAACTCTTTGACACATTCAAAATAGCCAAGACACACTCAGACACACTCGCACATTCTCACACACACTCAGTCACACTCAGACCGGCTCAGACACACTCACACACCGTAAAAAACAATTAAGACACTCTCGCACATGCTCAGACGCAACGGCAAACACTCTCTCACACTCAGACACACTTAGACACACTCACAAACATTCGCACACATTCAGACACACTCTCACACACTCAAACACTCAGGCACGCTCAGACACACTCAAAAACGCTCAGGCACACAACCAGACACACTTAAACACAGTCAGACACACTCAAGCACACTCTCACACACCCAGACACACTCACACACTCTCACACACACTCAGGCACACTCAGACACACTGAGAAATATTCAGACACCCTCGCATACACTCGGACATATTCAGACACACTCAGACACACTCAGAAACACTCGCACACACCCAGACACCTTCGTTCACATTAAGATATGGAAAGACAACCTTGCACAAAGCCAGATACACTTAAACACCCTCAGAGACGCTCAGACACGCTCCAATACACTCAGACACACTTAGACGAACCCAGACACTCCGATACGCTCAGGCACACTTAAAAACACTCAGAAATACAAAAGGACAGTCCCACACTCGAAAAACTCACACGCACTCAGGCACACTCAGACACACTGAGACACACTCAGACGCATTCACACACAGTCACACACTCAGTCACATTCAGACACAGTCAGATACGCTCAGACACAATCAGAGACACTCGGTCAGACACAATCAGATACACTCCGACAAAATCAGACACACTCAGGCGCACCCAGACACACTAAGACACAATCACACACAATCGGATACACCGGCAAACAGTGACAAAAAAATCAGACTCATAAATAAATGTTCAGGCACAGTCATGCAAACTGAGACACATTCGCAGGTACCCAGGACACACTCAGATATTCTCCGACACACTCGCACACGCTCAGACTTGCTCAGCCACACTCAGACACTCTTAGACACACTGCCACACACTCAGACACACTCGCACACAGCCAGACACACTGAAACACACTCAGACACACTCAAGAACACTCCGACATATCCAGACACTCTCAGAAGCATTTGCACACATTCAGACACACTCGCACACAATCAGGCACACTCACGCTCTGAGACACATTGAGATACGCTCAGATACACTCAGAAACATTCAGACACACTCGCACACGCTCAGACACACTCAGATACTCAGATACACTCAGACACACTCAGGCTAAACCAGAAACACTCAGATACAATCAGACACACTCACGCACACTAGAACACACTCCCATAAACCCAGACACATTGAGATATTCTCCGACACACTGAGACACACTCAGGTAGAGGCAGCCACACTCAAACTCACTCACACACACTCAGGCACACTCAGAACACTCACGCACGCACACAGTCGCACAAACTCACACACACTCGCACACATTCTCATAAACTCGCACCCAGTCACACACACTCACACACCATCACACTCAGACACACTCAGATACACTCAGACACAGTCAGATACACTCCGATACACTCAGAAAAACTCAGAAACGCTCAGACACACCCAGACACATTCCCTCATACTCAGATATGCTCAGACACAATCGGACCCACTCGCACACAACCATACATGCTTAAACACACTCAGACACACTCAAGGACAGTCACACCGAGCCACATTCAGACAGTCTCCGACAGATACAGGCACACTGGGAGACGCTCAGACACACTCGCACACACTCAGACGTACTTTAGCGCACTCAAAAAAACACAAACTCACTCAGAAACACTCAAGCACTCTCCCTCGCATCCAGACACACTCAGAAGAATTTGCACACATTCAAACACACTTTCGCCCACTCAAATCAATCACAGACTGTCAGACACACTCAGGCACACTCAGACACACTCAGGGGCAATAAAAACACTCAGACACACTCGCATACTCTCAGACACAGTAAGACACAGTAAAAAAAACACTCGCACACACTCGCACACAAACACATAGACACACACAAGCGCACTCAGAATCACCTGGAAACACTGAAAACAATCAAACCAAATGCAGACACACTTAAACACACTCCGACACACTCATGAAGACTCCCAGACACCCAGTCAGACTCAGATACATTCAAACACGAAGACATAGGCACACTGAAACACGCTCTCACTCAGTCGCACATACTCTCACAAAGACATACACGCTTGAACACACTTAGACACGCGCGCACACAGTCAGACAAAACAGCAAACACACTTAGACACACTCGCACACACCCAGACACATTCACTCACATTCGGAATCGCTCAGACCCACTCACACACACTCATACACAGCCAGACCCACTTAAACACACTGAGACACAGTCAAGCACACTCCCACACACCCAGACACACTCAGGCATTCTGAGAGACGGCCAGACACACTCGTACACGCTCAAACACATGGTGGAACCTCATGGAACCAAGGACCATTGTGACAGTGCAGGGCCTTCTGGAGCCAAAGGAGCCCTGGGACACGGGGCAATCTCATGGAATCAAGGCAGCACTGTCACCCTGGGAAAACTCCTGGAATTCAGGGCCCGTTGTGACACTGCAGTTCCCCGTGGAACAAAAAGAACCCTGGGACGCTGCAGAAACTCCTGGAATCAAGGGACCATTGTGACATTGAGGGGGCTGATGGAATCTCAGAGTCCATTGGGACAATCCAGGGCCTCATGAAATCAAAGGAATTCTGGGACACTGTTGAACCTCCTGGAACCTCTCCCCTGCTCTCCCAGTGCCCTCATCCATCGAGCTCCCAGCCCGGCCCCACCCCCTGCTCTCCTCCAGCCTGGATTTCTCCCCTGCAGGGGCAGCTGAGGTGGTTCCAGGGCGGGAGCTTTCGGGGCAGGGGGTGGCTCCTGACGTGCTGCTGGAACCGCCCCCTGCCAGGGTGGGCCCGTCAGCCTGGGGCACCTCCTCACCCGAGCCTGGGAGACAGACCGGCAACTGGGAGGGGGTTTGGGAAGGAATGGGGAGGCTGAGAAGGGGTTGAGGGTCATGGGGGTAACTGGGAAGGGGTTTGGGGGATCTTGGGGGTTGGGAGGGAGGTTGGGGAGATTGGGACAACTGTGAGGGTGTTTGGGGAATCGTCGGGAGTCTGGGAAGGGACTGGGAGAGAGTTTGTCTGGCTGGGAAGGGCAACGATAGAGCGGCTTGGTGGGCACCTGACATCCAGACAAGGTCAACCCACTGCAACATTGCAGGGTCTCATGGAACCAAAGGACTGCTGGGACACTTGGGGAACTCACAAAATCAAGCGACCGTCGTGACACTGCCCTGCATCATGGAAGCAAATGTTCCCTGGGAAATTACAGAAAACCAGGGAATTAAGGGACATCATTGAATTAAACAAACCCTGGGATATCTTTGGAACTTCATGGAATCAAAGGGATAAAACGAAAGAATTAAACCCAATGACCAGAAAGCATTGGATCGAACATTTCTTTAATATGCCAGCTGGGGATTCATGGGGGTACTCTACCATGCATGAATCAAAGAATCTGTTTAAATTTTGGAATATAAATACAGTGATACTTGAAAGACCCCCCCTTCACAAGCAGTCCATACTTATGGTTTTGGGGTCAAATAGCATCTGGGATTGTATTCGTGGAGCAAGACTTCATCTAGCATCCATTTTTTCTGGGAGGGGCAGTCATTTCCGCAGAGTGGTCTTCTCGCTTAGCAGGCCTCGTAGCTTCTCTGATTGATCTATCCGACCTCCAACCCCTAAACTAAATGTTCTAGGACCAGCTAAGATGTGTCTTAGAACTTCCCATTTGCTTCAACAATGTCTAATTGACTTTCTTTTTAACAGAACAATCTCTTATTAGACAAGTTTTCTGAGGCATGTAAGCTAATTTCTTGAAGGTGGGCAGACGAGACACTCTCTATTAGTTTTCATGTATCATCTGCATTCTCTCTCCTAAAACTAATTGTAGTCTTAAAAGAAAAGACCACTACCATGCCAAGAAAGCAAATCCCTTTCTTGATTAGGATTTTTATCTAAGAAAAAACTTCCGATTTACGAAGTTGTTTAGAAAGGAGATCCTCTCATTTCAGTGCCATTATGACAATATGGGGCCTCATGGAGCACATGGAACAATGAACACTGCAGATTCAAGGGAATCAAGGGGCCACTGTGACACTCTAGGGCCTCATGGAAGAGGGAGACCCTGCAGAGAGACTTCAAACCAGAGGTTTGGGCAATCATCATCAAGAGGAAGTTCAAGAAGGGGAAGTGCCGGATTCTGTCCCTGGGATGGGGCAACCCCGGCTGTACAGACAGACTGGGAATTACATGCTGTGTAACAGTGCTGGAAAATGGCCTCTGAGGTCCTGGTGGATGACCAGTTGGCCAAGAGTCGGTGGTACCCTGACAGGGGCTCACCGTTCGGTCATGCGAGTGTTTTCAGACACACGAGTTCTCCCCTTGCACACAGACACAGACAGTTCATGGCAGCAGGGGCAGCTTCTGCTGGCACGCCCGGAGCCTGGATGCACCTCAGCCCTTGTGGGGTGCCACCTGCTCTACCACTATCTGAGATACCCCACGGCCTGAGTGATGGAAACGGGGAGCTCTGTCCACAGAAGCACATCCTAGAGCTGCATCCAGAGGTTTTGCAGGGTTTAGTACCATAAATGCGAAGTGACATCGAGACACTCCTGGTCTCACATAACTTCAAAACCCCCCATGAGGCTGATGGCATTTGTACTTCCTCAAGGTCATCTCCCCACACCAACACCAGGTGTGTGCTCAAGACTTGTCTATGCAATGCAAACATTCGCACAAACGCAGACACACTCAGATATACTCCGAAACTCTACGACACACTCAGGTACACCCAGACACACTCATACACACTCGCACACAATCAGACGCACTCGCACACACTCAGATATGCTCAGACACATTCAGACACACTCAGAAACAATAATGCACACTCAGAAAAACTTGCAAACACTGATAATCAGACCCATAAATATAGGCTCAGGCACAGTCACCCACACTCAGACACACCCAAACAAACCCAGACACACTCAGACATATCAGCACACACACAATCAGTCACACTCAGACACGCTCAGACACACTCGCACACACTCACACATATTCACACACACTCGAACACACTAACACACACTCAATCACACTCAGACACGCTCAGACAGACTCAGACACATTCACTCACACTCAGAAAGGTTCAGACACAATCAGACACACTCACAAAAAGCCAGACACACTTAAGCACACTCAGAAACACTCAAGCACACTCCCACATGTCCAAACACACACAGACACATTCAGACACACTCAGACTCATAAAGGCACACTGAGAGATGCTCAGACACACTCTCACAAACTCAGACACACTTGTGCATATTCAAACACACTCAGACACACTCAAGCACACTCCCACACATCCAGACACACTCAGAAATATTCGCACACATTCACACTCTCGCACACTCAGAAACACTCACACACTCTCAGAAACACTCAGGTACACTCAGTCACACTCTCACATAGCAGGACACACGTAGACACACTCAGACACACTCAGACACAAGCACATACACTCAGACACACCTGCAAACAGTGACAAATAATCAGACTAAAAATATATGCTCAGGCACACTCACACACACTGAGACACAGTCGCACAAACCCAGACACATTCAGATATACTCCGACACACTCAGGCACACCCAGACACAATCAGACACACTCGCACACGCTCGCTAAAACTCACACACACTAACACACACTCACACACTCAGTCACACTCACTCACACTCAGATACCGTCAGATAAACTCAGACTCATTGAGACACTATCGCACAGACTAAAACACTCATACACACTGACACACACTCACACACTCAGTCACACTCACTCACACTCAGATACCGTCAGATAAACTCAGACTCACTGAGACACTATCGCACAGACTAAAACACTCATACACACTGACACACACTCGGACACGCTCAGACACACTCAGATAGGCTAAGGCACACTCAGACACACTCACACACACTCAGACACACTCAAGCACAATCCCACACACCCGGACACACTCAGACACTCTCAGGCACTCTCAAGCACACGGAGAGACGTTCAGACACACTGGCACACAGACACACTTGAGCACACTCAAACGCACTCAGACGCACTCAAGCAAACTCCCACACATCCAGACACACTCAGAAACATTTGCACACTTTCAGACAAACTCACACACTCAGAAACACTCAAACACTCTTAGACTCAATCAGGCACACTCAAACACACTTGAACACACTCAGACGCATTGGCGCACACAGATATTCTCAGACGCATTCAGACACACTCTAAAGAAAACCAGACACACTTAGAAACACTCAAACAAACCCAGACACACTAAGAAACACTCAGTCACACTCAGACACACTCAGACACACTAAAAAACATTAAGACACACTCGCACATGCTCAGACAAACAGCAAACACTCTCACACACTCAGAAACACTCGCACACACCCAGACATCTTCGCTCACATTCAGATACGCTCAGAAAACCTCGCACAAAGCCAGATACACTTTAACACACTCAGACACACTCAGACAAAATCAGGCACACTCAGACACAATCAGGCACACTCAGACACGCTCAGACACACTCGCACGCAGCAATGCACACTTAAACACACTCAGAAACACTAAAGCACAGTCCAACACTCGCACAAACTCACACACTCAGACACACTCATACAGGTTCAGGCACACTCAGGCACAATCAGACACAGAAACAGTCACACACTCCCAGACACTCTCAAACACTCTCAGACACAGACACACTCAGATGCATTCACACACAATCATACACGCTCAGTCACATTCAGACACAGTCAGATACGCTCAGACACACTCTCACACACTCAAGAACAGTCCCACACACATTTAGACACACTCTGACACAAACACTTACAATCGGACACACCTACAAACACTGACAAAAAAATCACACTCATAAATAAATGCTGAGGCACTCTCACACACACTGAGACACATTTGCAGAAACCCAGGACACACTCGCACACGCTCAGACACACTCAGACACACTTAGACACACTGCGACAAAATCAGACACCCTCGCACACAACCAGACACACTTAAAAACACTCAGATACACTCAAGCAGAATCCCACACTCCCAGACACGCTCAGACACACTCGCACAAAGACACACTTGAGCACACTCAAACACACTCACACGCACTTAGGTACACTCCCACAAATCCAGACACAGTCAGAAATATTGGCACACATTCAGACACACTCAGACACTCGGAAACACTCACGCATTCTCAGACGCACTCAAACACACTCAAACACATTCGAACATACCCAGATATATTCGAACACACAGATATTCTCAGACATATTCAGACACACTCTCAGGAAACCAGAAACTCTTTGACACATTCAAAATAGCCAAGACACACTCAGACACACTCGCACATTCTCACACACACTCAGTCACACTCAGACCGGCTCAGACACACTCACACACCGTAAAAAACAATTAAGACACTCTCGCACATGCTCAGACGCAACGGCAAACACTCTCTCACACTCAGACACACTTAGACACACTCACAAACATTCGCACACATTCAGACACACTCTCACACACTCAGAAACACTCACACACTCTCAGACACACTCAGGCACGCTCAGACACACTCAAAAACGCTCAGGCACACAACCAGACACACTTAAACACAGTCAGACACACTCAAGCACACTCTCACACACCCAGACACACTCACACACTCTCACACACACTCAGGCACACTCAGACACACTGAGAAATATTCAGACACCCTCGCATACACTCGGACATATTCAGACACACTCAGACACACTCAGAAACACTCGCACACACCCAGACACCTTCGTTCACATTAAGATATGGAAAGACAACCTTGCACAAAGCCAGATACACTTAAACACCCTCAGAGACGCTCAGACACGCTCCAATACACTCAGACACACTTAGACGAACCCAGACACTCCGATACGCTCAGGCACACTTAAAAACACTCAGAAATACAAAAGGACAGTCCCACACTCGAAAAACTCACACGCACTCAGGCACACTCAGACACACTGAGACACACTCAGATGCATTCACACACAGTCACACACTCAGTCACATTCAGACACAGTCAGATACGCTCAGACACAATCAGAGACACTCGGTCAGACACAATCAGATACACTCCGACAAAATCAGACACACTCAGGCGCACCCAGACACACTAAGACACAATCACATACAATCGGATACACCGGCAAACAGTGACAAAAAAATCAGACTCATAAATAAATGTTCAGGCACAGTCATGCAAACTGAGACACATTCGCAGGTACCCAGGACAC